TCTACTCAAGGACAACTTTCAGAGTCTCTTCTGGCATCCATTTTGGTCTGTTCTTCCTTTCTTGGCTTTTTAATGACCTTTTGTTTTCTTCATGGATGATGTCCTTGCTATCATCCCACATGGAAGCATAGAAGTTGGTAATTTTGGAATATATCATCTTTTCTTCTCTTTCTTCTTTCTGTTTTTTATTTATTTATTTATTTATTTTGAGCAATACTCTGCCACAGCATTTCAGAAAGAGAGTTGGTGTAGCTAACTCTGTGTTTCCATAAGCCAAGGTGGAGAAGCAGTCATAGTTTTATCAAAATGTCACTGCCTTCATTACAATCATTAGGTGTTTTCACTTTTGGTAAAAATACAGTATTGCACTTTTCTTTGTTTGTAACACATTATACATTATTTTTCAGATCAGTTAAAATTAACAGTTGAGAACAAAGGATATAGTTCAGAGAAGATAACATGATAGCTTTGTTTGTCTGAAATGGGTTTTTAGGAGGTTGGAGAAACTTAATGGAATGTTGTCTGAAAGGATAATAAAATTACTTTTCAAATATGTCACATAGTAATCAGGGTTAAGCATATGCCAGCTATGAAATATCAGTTAGCTCATGATCTATGCTTCCTACACACCCAGAATGAGAACAGAAAGCATGTAACATATTTTCCATATACCATATGAATATAATAGGAGTTCACTCAGGAACTGAAGGAGTGACTTTATTAAATTATTAATTTACCATTTTGAATTATGATGTATAAACATAATCATGATCATAATCATATTTGTGTATCTCTATCTAAAACTTAACGATATGTGTGTCTTCTCAGGTTCATCATTCTCTAACAGGCTCGTAACATATGAAGCCTTTACGAATCCCAGTTTACTGATGAGAACAATTAGATTGAAGGAAGTAGGGGAGTTTTGTGTGGCTATGGTAATACCTTTCATTTAGTGCTCTAGGAACGTGACTGAGAGAACTCTGTATTCTTCAGATACAGCTTTCTCATATATTAATTCATTCATTATAGCTGTAAGCAAGAAAGCACCTGCTCTCATGAAATGTTCATTCTAGAACAGGGAAGATGAGAAGAAAATAAGCAAGTGGACAAACAAAAAAACAAAAGAGAGATATTTCTACTTTTTTTTAATTTTATTTTAAATATGTGCTAGTAGTTACTAAAGTTGAACATATGCATATCCTGTGCCTTGAAGGTCTACTCTTGGGTATATGTAGTGATCACCAAAAGTCATACTGTAATAAAAAAATGAAAGTTATCCAAAAGCTCACTGATGGAAATAGACAATGAATTATGATGTATTCATAGAGTAAGAATAGATAAATGAAATAGAATGCATAAAATTCAATATCCTTGCCATTAGTGAGCTGAAATGGACTTCTTTTGGCCACTTTGAATCAGCCAATCATATGATCTACAATGCCAGAATGACAAATTGGAGAAGAGTGGCATCACATTCATCATCATGAAGAATCCTTTAACATCAATCCTAATGTACAATGCTATCAGTGATGGGATAGTATACACACACCAAGAAGGAACATGAGTAATACTACTATTATTCAAATTCATGCACCAACCACTAAAACCAAAGACCAGGAAATTGAAGATGTTTGCCAATTTCTTTAGCCTAAATTTGACCAAACATGCAATCACAATGATTATTACTGTCGATTGGAATGTAAAAGTTGGAAACAAAGAAGATCCCTGGTAGGTGGAAAATATGGACTTAGTGATAGAAATTATGCCAGAGACCACAGAATAAAATTTTGCAAGACCAACAACTTATTAATTGCAAATTCCTTTTATCAACAACATAAATGGTGGTTGTGCACATGGACATTTGAAGCACTTACTGATGAAGATTAAAAACTACAGTCTGCAGTATGGATTACATCTCAATATAAAGGAAAGAAACAAACAAAGAAATATCCTCACAACTGGTCCAATAAACAGTTTCAAAATGGATAAAGAAAAGATTGAAGTTGTCAAGCACTTCGTATTATTTGGTTCTACAATCAATACCAATGGAACCAGCAGTCAAGACATTAGATGATGCATCACACTGGGCAAATCTGTTGCAAAGACCTCTTTCAAGTGATGAAGAACAAAGATGTTTCCTTGAAGACTAAGGTGTGCCTTACTATTTTAAATCACCTTTTATGCATGTGAGAGCTGGACAATGAATAAGGAAGACCAAAGAAGAGTTGATGCTTTTTAGTTGTTGTGTTGGAGAAAAATGCTAAGACTATCATGGGCTTCTAAAAGGACTAACAAATCTGTCCTGTAAAAGTGCAGGCAGAATGCTCGTTGGAAGCAAGAATGGGAAGATTTCATCTGACCTACTTTGGTCATGTTGTCAGAAGGAACCATTCCCTGGAAAAGTATATCATGTTTGGTAAAGTGAAGGGTCAATGAAGAAGAGGAAAGTCCTCAATTATATGGATTGACACAATGGCTGCAACAATGGGCTTGGTTATAGCAAGGATCGTGAGGCTGGCACAGGTGTGGGCATCATTTTGTTCTGCTGTGCATAGGGTCACTATGAATCAGAAACAATTGGACAGCACATAACAACAACAACAATGTGCATGTGGATCTCATCAGATGGAATAAACAGGGATCAGATTGATTACATCTGTAGAAAGAGATGATAGAGAAGCTCAATATCTTCAGCTAAATAA